TTCGCGAAAGAAAAAATTGAAAATTCGAAATTTTTTGAAAACTTTTTTGGAATTTTTTTTATTTTTCAGTTAAAAAAACATAATTTCTTGATAATATGGCAACACAGGTATTAGATTAAATTTACAAGAAAGAAAATCCAGAAAAGATCCAGTGGTTCTCAAAATTTTAGCAAAAAATATTTTTTTTTTAAATTTTCGAAGTAAAATAACTCCCTTATTTTGGACTTATTTTAAAAACGATAAAGAGAAAATATGTTTCTTTTATCGAGATCTACCAACCACTAAAATAATTGCACTTATTTCTGGGACACCCTGTATAACACAAAAACGAAATGGTATTCCATATTTGGTTACTTTTCTCTACCCATTTGGAGATCTTAAACTTTTTCACTATAATTTTCGCATTAAAAAAATTAGGACCAATTTTTAGATGATCTGACAACGTTGCTTTTTATACCGTGAGAACCCTTAACCATTCGTATCCCTTATCTACGAAAAATTGGCCGTTTGACCCTTTTTTCCACCCAGATCGCCCAGGAATCTCGACATGATCCATTCAAAACCAAATCCGCCCACATTGTCCGTCCCCCTGACCAGATTTAGTTTCTATCGATTTCTGGAAATTCTTTCTCCTTCGACAAAAAGGGTTAAGCAGATGCGTATCGCCGAAAAGTATTGTGTCTTTTGTGACATTTCGGGTGGAATTCAGCTGTCACGAATGAATTCTGCACGTTACGATGACCCTCGAGACGATGTGGGAACCAGTGGTTGTTCTAATCCTTTTATGGGGGTATGTGACATAACGTTTGGCTGGTCGTATTTGAATGTTGTCGCAATATGTTACAATATCTCGAATGGGTATTCAGATAATATAATAGGGCCAGCTGATAGCATGAATATACAGCAAAAGAATGTATTTTGTCTAAATTCAACGACAAAGTATTGGTAATTTATAATTTACTAGCGTGTACCCGCGACTTCGTTCGGGTCGAATTGTAATGGTGATGATAAAGCAAAACAAGAATTTCCATTAACATACAAACTGGGGCAGAACCGTGGTTAATCAATTACCCAACATTTTGGAACATCCTGTATGATTTTTTTTTTAAAATTTCAAAATATGTAAAAAAACCAAATAAATTATGCTTGTCCAAGCGTTTTCCCGAAAGACTAACCGTTTTTTAAATAACAAATATTGTAATATTTGAGGGGCGTTTTCTCCCTCTTGGAATTTGAGATTCGAGAAACCCCTCCTTATCGAACCTCTACACCCCACAGTCAATCCGTTTGTCAAAAATCAGCTTTAAACGTCAAGCAATTTAAGCAGAATCGTGATTACTCAATGGTCATATTTTATGAAACACTTTGTAAATTTTTTAAAAAATCTTAAAATATGTAAAACAACAAAATAAAATATACTTGTTTAAGAGTTTTTCCGAAAAACTCACCGGTTTTTAAATAAAAAATATTCTATTTGAGGGGTGGTTTCACCCCCTTAGAACTCGAGTTTCGAAAAATCCTTTCTTATCGAACCTAAATTCAATCCGTTTTCCAAAAATCAGCTTTTTATGTGTAGCGCTTTAAGCAGGATCGTGAATTATCAATGACCAGATTTTTCGAAACACCCTGTATACATTTTTAAAAAATCTTAAAATATGTAAAAAACGAAATAAAATATACGTGTTAAAGCGTTTTTTTCCGAAACTTGACCGTTTTTTAAAAAAATATTGTAATATTTGAGGGGTGGTTTCACCCTTTTGGAACTGGAATTTCGAAAAATCCCTTCTTATCGAACCTCTACACCTTAGAATCAACCTGTATGCCAAAATTGAGCTTCTTACGTTGAGTGGTTTGAGCAGGATCGT